TGCGCAGCTTTTACACAATGTTATGAATCGAAATTCTATTTAGTCCGTCAGACAGATAATTAGAAAAGATTAGACTAGGGTAATTCCAGGATACATGCCCCAGTGGGATAGGTGCCGCGATTTTAAGTACACTATGTTACAAGCAACTTAGCCTAAAGTTATAGTACGTATAATAGAAAGGGACCTCCCCGTACCACTTTACGAATCGCAAACCATCAAAGAGTGCGTTCGTTTAGCCAGTGAGAGCAAAAATCTTCCACGGCCAGACCTTATCGAGCGTCGAAATGATATTGGTAAGTATCTTATAATAGATAGATTTTTTGTCAGTTGTAAAATGAAGCAGATTTTTATATAATTTGATAGACTATCTTATAAATTATACGGGATAGCTATGTTTAATTCGATTTTTAGTGTTATTATATTTTTTATTAAAAAAGGCACCTATCCTATGCTAAAAGGATAGTTGCCTAATTTTTTTTGGGTATAGATGCCCTTAGGGCCATATCCCATGCACCTAGGGGCATCTATCCTAACCTGCTCTTTTTGTCACAGGTAGCAAGTAAGAAGAAAAAAAGAATGTAGTACGGCTAACCTCAGGAAAGTAATAAATAGGGGGCCCTTCTGATCGAATAACCTTTTTACCCGACTGCGCTAGAAGGAGGGTTATGTTTTTCGGGTGGATCTATGTATTATTTCATTTTTAATTAATTTAATAACAAACAATCTTAAGTAATAATACTTGGCTTGTTTGATTTCAAAATGCATTTGATCCTTAGAATTCAAAAGACTATATTTTTTATTTTTTTCCATAATCGAATAATTACAGTATTATATTGAGTTGAAATGTCGCGTGACGTCACATTTGAGTAAAAATTCTACTCAAGCGTGGCGTATCGCGCCATTTCAACTCGATGTAGCACTGTTATTATTTAATTATGAAAGAAAATAAAAAATATGAGTCTAATATTTTCTAATTATCTGTCTGACGGACAAATAATTGAAATTTTGTCATCTAGCCTAGTTGTCGTCAGGAAGTTGGTCTAACTAATTCAGCTTGCAAGATTCCACCCGAACAAACATTTATGTAATTACCTACATAGGTACATCATAAATTGCAAGCTAAATAAAAGCTTGTAATAAAGTCGGGTTTGTTCAAATTTCGAGAACGACTGAACCGACAAAAGCATTAGAAAATTTACAAAAAATAAAATAAAATTTTATCCCGCACAAAATGTTCATGGATTTTGTTATTTTTATTAAATACCTTTACGCCTGAGTTAAATGACACCGACATCAAGGTTCATCAATTTAAGTTTAAAATAATAGGCAGTAATGTATGAAGAAAGAGCTTCTATTCTGTTTCTACCTATGCCCGTGTATTTTTGATCGGTGTCAAATCGGAGTTTTTGGTGCGGGGTGCGCGGGTGTTGCTCGCGGCGTGAAGGTCAAACGCCCAAGGTCATTGAGGACTCTAATCGCCTTAAGTAAGTAGGTAGGTACCTACTTACTAATACGGTGTTAGGTAGATCTACGGTAATAAAGATCATAAATACTAATAGCTTAGTCTTCCTCTCTATAGCTAGCTGGCTAGACAGGCAAAAGGCCAAGTGTCTAGTCGGTCAGGTTTTTTGTCTAGTCTTACGCCGCTTTTGTTGAACAAAACCAGCAGTTGCTGATTCGAATCTGGCAGGAGTTGATAACATTGTGCTTATCACCTTATGCTTTATACATATAACAAAACAAACCTTGACAATAAGTACCTAAGAACCTACGAACAATAAATGATTTATTTATTTACGCTACGACAGGTCTCTCGATTCCCTTACCATTATGAAACTGAAAAAGTAATATCTAAAGTTCTAAACTCACCAAGACAACGAGCCCAGTTGCTATAGCCTCCTGTACATTGTTCCGCCACCTCTCCATATCGGAGACGCGAACGTTGACGCCGTTCACCGGCCGGTTCAGGTCCTGCCACTTCATGTTGGCCTGCCGCGGCGGCCACCCGCGCGATGACGTCAGACTGTCCAGCTTGGGGTAGTAAGCCTCTGGGATCTCTTCGCGGAAGTCGCTGAACTTCTTAACGCGCTTCAAAGAGTTGTTTAGACGCTCGTTGTTGTATCTGATCGAGGACAATAATCAGTCATAGTCATAGTCATTTATTCCATAAGCAATACTCTTTATTTTTAAGTTTAGCGTGGTCTTGATAACAATCTCACCCGGGGAGAAGGTACAGATGAGATCTTTGATGAAGGTTAACACGCTCAGAAAGACAGTGTCTGTTAAATCGTTCGGGACATAAGTAAAGGCCTACTTTTAGAGTTTAGAAACACAGATCCAGCAGCCAGCAGCTGGTTCAATCTACCTAAGTCGGTATCATTATTAGTATTTGGCATCCAGGTAATCCAGATTTAGGGAGACAGTTAAGGCATGTCGTGTTGCATAATTTTTGACTCAATTTAATCGGATTCTTAAAAAATCTTCGGCCATTCTCAGATGAGCTAGTTTTTGCGTGTCCGGGCTGTTAAATCGTTAAAAATGACAAATTAGAGACATGCAAGTATTTTTATATGTTACTTAACAACCCTATCCAGTTGTGCATTAAATCATAGGCCTCTATTTTAAGTATTTGCGTCTAAATTAATTTCATGAAACCCTGTTCTCTAATTACCGTTACGCGTCCGCACACCGACTTAATGTTAAAAGTTGGCTGTAATTTTTAAGTCGTAAAGATTT